AAAATCTAAAACATCATGCATAAAATATGCTGTACTAATTTAGATTGACAGTGTTGCCAAAGAAATTAAAACTAATGCTACTATATATATATACAAAAAAAAATTTATACATTTTTTGGCTGTTATTTTTACAGCGACTATACAGTGTCATTTTTTCTCAATTCATGGACCCTGCTGATATGGGCTTCTGTTAGGGCCTTGCGAAAGCCCAGGTCTTTTAGAAGCAAAGCTGCTATTTCCAATGTTCTGAGGGCAATGATATTTTGGCCATGAACCCTTCTCATGCTCATTAGACTAGAGCTGTGCATAATTTGGTAAATACCGAATTATTGTATCGAAATCAAAAAATTTGGTATTCAATATGGTATTTGGTATTTTAAAATGAAATATCGAAATATCGATACCATACCGAAATATATATTATATTACACAATACATATTTTATTAATTATAACATAAGTATAAGAAATTTAAAATTTTACTTTCTTTTATTCTCTAAGTTAATCAATTAACTCTAAGCAATCAACAAGACATTTCTCTAAGATGTGTATCTCTAGGTTGATATATGCTAGTTTTGGACAAAACTTATGTCAACAAACGTTTTAAGGTTTGTACTTTTGAGTACTTTAATTAAGAATATTACCATCTATGACTCTATGCACTAGTTAGTATTCAAACCGAATAAACTGAAGTTACCGAACCGAATAAACTGAAACCGAAAGAACAAAAACCGAATCATACCGATTTAATTAGGTACGATATTGGTATAGTATTTTACGAAATCGAATACCGAAAATATCGAACCGAAATGTCTAAATACCGTACCGTATCGACCGACAAACACCTCTAATGATCAAAAAACCTTGAGATTGCTCGTTAATTATTCCATTTAAAACTATACTCTATTTTTCCTATTAATATGTATGACTCTATTTTGTTGTTTTAAAAGAGCTTCATTATACGATACTCTGTACTTTTAGAGACTTCCAACATGTTTGACAATAATATTACAGTATACTCTCAAGGATTTCAATTTCCATCACCTTTTACAAATTAAATGAAATTAAAGTAATCTATAAGTTGAAGGAGACAAGAGTGGTTGCTCCGATGGTCAGTACCTCCTACCTACAATCTCAGGATTGTGGGTCCGAGTCACCAAAGGAGCATAAGCTCTAACAAAGGGGATCAAAGTGGAGGAAAACTACAAAAATAAAAATTAAAAAAAAAAAACTGAAGGTTGCCACACAAGGACTAATTCTAATTACTTTTACCTAGGAACCTAAAATACTTCATGCGCCGCAGGTCTTGCGGTTGGACCTATTTTTATTATTTCTACTTAATTATATCATTTTTTTTCAAGGTTAATTTTTCAACCATGAATTGGCAGCAAGTTATTTTTTTCCTGTTTGAAAAATAAATGCAGGCATTCGAGAATAAATGAACTTGAAAATGTACACTTGGAAATAATAAAAAGTCATAAACATTTTCCCCCAATTTATTTTTGCATGTTGTTCACTTCCAAATGCCACTAAATATCAGCAATAATTATCATTAGATTAATGTCGCGATGCTTATGAACGAACAGTTGGTAGCAACATGAAAATAGGAAACCATCCTATGTGGCACAAGGCTAGGATTCATGAATTTGATCCGGGGCAAAAATCAGTAGTCAACCAGCTTGATATTTAGAATGATTTAAATTATAAACAAATTGATAGTATAGAGTAATTATTTTACATTTTCGATGTAGTTGTAATATGTGACAATAGGCTATTAATATTTTTATCAAGTTCTCAATTCCTTATCATATTAATTTATATGTAATCGTTATGTATGTGACCTGATTGGGTAGATATTACTTACTTAGTATATATACAAATAATAAATAAATCTTCCAATCGTCTATAGTTGCGTTTGCACTAGAACTTGAGCAAATACCAATTGTGTTCCGATAAAAAGAGATAAAGGTAGGGTAGGGTAGGGTAGGGTAGGGAGGGATTCTTTCTCTTTACTAGAGCCAAGAGTTTACATAGGAGTTACACAAAACAAAGGAAACAAGTTGACTACTTATAAATTACCTGACTTTGGCTTAATTCCTGAAAATGGAAAGAAATAGGCATAGCCATCGTTTTCCTTGCGTGACGCAGTTGATTTCTTTCTGTGACAAGTTGATGGATTTTGAATATTGATGTATATTAATTGAGTATATATGTTTTAAAATGTACATCTACGTCTATCTTCACTTCTTTTACACATATTTAGGAACTTTGACCCTGAAATATTGGGTTCCGCCGAATTCACGAAGTTATAGTTGGATCAGCATTTGGTCACAAGTATTGGGATATACTATTAACCATGCAGTTTAGATATAGTATTGTGTTTTATTATTTATAAAATAATTATTTATTTAATTTATTCAATTCAATAAAGTACTATTTTAAATAGATCATTTGTTACATGTGTGTCCTTTAGTTATGTAGTACACAATTTAGTGTATGGAGTCTTAACTCATTCACACAAGATTAAATTATCAGTTCTCATAATTAATAAACTATGTTCACAATCGAAGATATTATTAGGCAAAATATCTTGACGATTGTAGCACAAGATTATAGTATAATTTATCTTGATTATGGTAGTGATTTTACTCTGACTTCTTGTGCTAGTATACTTGGTATATATTGAACGGACCAAGTAGAGAAAAAATGTTTTTGTACTGAATATATATAAAATATTTTCTCTAATTTATTGAATGAGCTTATACTCCTAATCTTGATATAATTATTATAATCAATGTGATTTGTTTATTGTTTTGATTTATCAAAAGGTTCAACTTTATTCAGAGTTAGTGTATGCCTAATAGATTGGACAATAACGAATAGCATTTGTGAAATAATAATTAATTGATAGAATCCATAACTCGGTTATGTGTTTGGTGATACCCCTTTATGTAAGCTAATAAGTTTTTATGTGAAAACTCGGCCGGTAGATTTTGTATCTGTCACATGCAATAATTTAGGCGGAATTATAAAGGATTTAATTAGTTGATTAAGTTAAATTGTCAGTGATTTAATTTAATTAACTGGTATTTAGGATCTTAACATGGGGAGTTAAAATAAGTGTTAGTAAATTTTTGAAATTCATATTGAGGAGTTCAATTGCAGTTTTTTAGTGGAATAAACTGTAACTAATTATAGTGGGAATTAATTCATGCAAAATTTTGAATTAATACTATAATTAGTAGCCTCTTATTATTTATGTGGTCCTTATTATGCCTAGTAAAAACCTGGACTGACTTGGGTAAAAAGTGACTTGGGAGAAAAGTTATCTGGTAGAGTTATAGTAGGATTCTACTTGCATAAGCAGAATCCTACATGTTTTTGGAGCCCTAATTTTGGCTGAAAAACGTGTCAACTAAAGGAAGATATTTTTCACCCAATAACTCACTTTTTAGAGTTGTATTGTTCTTGCCCACTCGAAGCAATTTCGTTCAAGGTCTTACTAGGACCATAGCAGAAGACTGCAGCCCTGGATTCTTGCTTTGTGGAGGACCTGTGCAACGATTTCAAGAGGTTAGTGGTTTCTAATCTCGTAATTGTATCATTGTCTAGTTTACATGTATTTGATGCCTGGATTGTATGCTTGCTTCCGCTGCGCATGTTCTAACAATTTGTATCAGATGACGTCTTACATCTAACTAAATAATGTAATACAGCATGAATAAAGTAATATTAAACGTGTTGTTTAATGATACATATTTGGTATGATTATTCTATGTCAAAAACGTGACTGGTTTTATTAGTATTTTAATTCTGAAATTATGAATTAATATACATATGCATAAACAAAGGTGTTATATTTAATGACAATCTCTTTTATTACGTTTTTGTTAATTAAGAGTGTTGTTTTAATAAAAACGTAACTGTTTTTAGAGTACTATTAATTCTGTTATTATAGATTAATATATACATAAACAGTGGTGCTATATTGACAATCTGTTTTAGTTACGTTTTTGTCCATAATCACAGTGTTATTTTAACAAATACGTGGCTGTTTTGAATGCTATTAGTTCTGAAATTATGGATTAACATACGGAATTTTGAAGAGTGACGTTTTGAACGGGTGAAAAATATTCTGTTTTTTACAATTTTATTCGAAAATAGTTTTTTTTATATAACACTGTAATAATATTATTGTTTTGAGTTCTGAAATTATGAATTAACATACATAGGTATATTATGTGATTTAACGAGTCAAAATAATCAAAATCCTAAAAAATGCCAAAAACAGAATTCTACGAATAGGTCATGAATTTGGAATTCTAAAATTCTGTCAAACTCCGATTGACCTCAAATTTGGTAGGTTCATCGAAAATGACCCAGCGAGATGGGTTTCGATGGGTCCGGGGTCGTTTAAATGGGGTTTTGTCCATTTTTCTATTTTTCTGAAAAGAAAAAAAATTTAATAAATGTTTTTTAAGAAAACAATGATGGTAGGGTTCAATTCCCATGGTTTTCAATCATGTTTTACAGTAATATAATAAATTTATATGTTGACATAGGTCTTTTTTCACATCGGATAAGTTCATTATAGATGATTACTGTAGTTTTGCCTCTAGTTATTTGATTACTTGTATTAACTCTCCAACTGAGTTACATGTTGATTCAATGAAAACTGGAGTTTATAAAAGTGATATTTACCTATCTTAAATTAACAGTTTACTCTCCATCTGGGTTAGTCCTGTTTTAATTTATGGGGTAAATATCTTACATAACTCATATATTTTGCATGAATAGTTAAGTTTTTCTAACGAATCTAACTGTTCAATGAGCATGGTTATATGTGTAATGTGTTGTTTTGTATTTAATTATTCTAAATACATAACTAATGATCAATTTAATGTGAATATCTCTCAGATTAACCATGTCTTCATTCAACCCACTTACCTCAATTTTGAACCAAAACAAGTTAGAAGAACCGAATTATGTTGACTGAAAAAGGAACCTTGATATTGTCCTAACTGCTGAAGGTTACAAATTTGTAATCACTGAGGAGTGCCCAAAAAAACCTGATGAAGATGCTACTGATGATCAGGTTAAAGCCTATGACAAATGGGTCAAGGATGATGAGATAGCGCGATGTTACATTCTTGCCTCTATGGCAAATGTTTTGCAACATCAGCATCAGTCTATGAGGTCTTCTTATGACATGCTCGAAAGTATCAAAGAAATGTTCGGTGAGCAAAATAGTGCGGCTAAGCAAACGGCCATGAAAGCCCTTTTGAACACCAAGATAGCTGAAGGATCATCGGTCAGGGACCATATTCTGAAGATGATGGGTCTTCTGAATGAACTGGAGGTCCTTGGAGCAGTGATTGATAAGGAATCTCAAGTTGAGATGGTCCTGCAGAATCTGCCTGACAGTTTTTAACAATTTCGCTTGAACTATAATATGAACAAAATGGATTTGTCACAAGCAAAATTGTTGAATGAGCTGCAAGCGGCAGAATCTATCATCAAACAGCAAGCTCCAGTTGTGGCACTGAATGTTGAGAAAGCTTCGGTTTCGAAGTCGAAAGGCGGTAAGAAAAAGAAGAAGACTCAAAAGATCTTGGCACCTGGAGGTGCGGCTGGTGTGAAAAAACCTAAAGGAAAGTGCTATCATTGCAAGAAATCTGGGCATCACAAAAAGCAATGCCCTGCCTATCTGAAAAAGTTGAATAAGCAAGGTAATTCAAATTTAAATGTCGTTGAAACTTGTTTAGCGGCTGTCTCTATCATGTTTTGGTGTGTAGATTCAGGATCCACTAATCATATCTGCACTACTTTGCAGGGGTTTTAGGAAATGCGACGGCTAAGTGAGAATGAAATTTGGATTTTCCAAGCCAATGGTGAGCCAGCACCAGCTTTAGCATTAGGCAACATTAGAGTTTCATTTAGTAGTGATAGAGTTTTAGTTTTGAAAGATGTTCTCTATGTACCTTCTATTAGAAGGAATTTGATTTCGGTTTTCGAAAATAATGGATGCTGGTTATAATGTTTATTTTGCTAATAACTTTGTTGTTATTAAGTTTAATAAACGTTTTATCTACACTGCTGCTAGAGTACATGACCTTTTTATTCTTGATATATCTCCTCATGTACTACAATAACCAAAAGAATTAAATAACATTAATCTTCCACATAAAGAAAAACGTATTTCTGAATTGAGCCAAACTTATTTATGGCACTTATGTCTAGGTCATATAAATCTAAATAGGATTTCGAGATTGGTCTCTGATGGACCTTTGAGTTCATTGAAAGTGGAGGCACTGCCAACATGTGAATCTTGTTTAGAAGGTAAAATGATCAAGAGACATTTTCCCTCAAAAGGAAATAGAGCCAGCGATAAGTTAGAATTAATTCGCTCTGATTTGTGTGGCCCTATGAATATACAAGTAAGAGTTGGTTTTGACTATTTTGTGACTTTCACAGATGATTAATCAAAATATGGATATATTTATTTGTTGTGCCGTAAGTCTGAATGCTTTGACAAATTCAAAGAATTTAAGACGGAAACGGAGAAACAACATGATAAATATATCAAAACATTGCGATCTGATCGTGGTGGTGAATACCTTTCTGCGAAATTCATTAAATACTTATCAGATTGTGGAATTATATCTCAATTATCTGCTCCAGGAATACCACAACAAAATGGTGTGGCAAAAAGAAGAAATATATACCTTATGGAAATGGTTAGATCAATGTTAAGTTATTCCGATTTGCCTTCTTTCTTTTGGGGATATGCTTTAGAAACAGCAAATTACATTCTAAATTTGGTTCCTTCAAAGTCAGTACCTTCAACTCCAGTATAATTGTGGACTGGGCGCAAGCCAAGTTTACGATACATTCGGGTTTGGGGTTGTCCAGCACATATGCTGAAAGGAAAAGCGGATAAATTGGAATCAAGGACAGAAGTATGCATTTTTATTGGATATCCAAAAGGAACTAAAGGCAGTTTATTCTATTTTCGCAAATAAAAGAAGGTAATTGTTACGACAAATACCAGATATTTAGAAGAGGACTATTTAATGAACCATATTTCTAGAAGTAAACTATTTTTACAGGAATTAAGTAATGGAGTAACTAATGACTCATCTCTGGAACGTATCCCGGAAGCCAGTGTTGACATACCATTGCATTATTATAGTGGGAGAAATGTCAATAGGCAGCAGAATGTACAAGAGCAATTGTCTGACATCTCACTACCCCAAAGTAGTGGGAGTAATGTTGAGCAACCTCAGATTGTTGAGCAACTGAAATTGTTCTGCAGCCTGCACTCCAGGAAGAAGTTAATGATATCCTAGCACCGTAAAGTGTGGAGGATAACATTGAGGCTTCAGTTCTAGAAAATGATGTTGTGATTCAACAACAAAATCAGACTGCACCTGTAGTGACTAGTCGTAGTCAAAGAATTATTAAAAACCTCTCTGGTCTGCTCTCTTGGGAGAATCTTATGATAGCATCCCTGAAGAGCCTAATACAGAACCTTTTAATTACGACGAAGCACTACAGGATACAGATGCTGATAAATGGGTTGCTGCTATGAAATTTGAAATGGAGTCCATGCACTCCAATCTAGTCTTGGATCTTGTAGAACCACCTACTAGAGTCAAATCCATTGGTTGTAGATGGATCTATAAGAAAAAGAGAGGAGTGGATGGAAAAGTGTAAACTTTTGAAGTTAGGCTTGTTGCAAAAGGGTTTACTCAAAAAGAAGGGATCGATTATGAGGAAACTTTTTCGCAAGTAGCCATGATTAAATCCATTAGGATTCTCTTATCCATTGCTGCTCATTACAATTATGAGATATGGAAGTCTTGATGAGTGAATCTATATGGCATAACCATTTGGTTTCATAAAATGTGGCAATGAGTACATGTTGTGTAAATTAAAGAAATTCATTTATGGAAAGAAACAAGCTTCTAGAGCATGGAATACTTGTTTTGACACATCGATTAAAACCTTCGGTTTTGATCAATGTAAAAATGAGTCTTGTGTCTATAAGAAGTGGGATGGAGATAAAGTTATATTTTTGGTTTTGTACATGGATGATATTTTGCTCATAGGAAATAATGTGAGCATGTTGAATTCAGTAAAGGAATGGTTATCCTCGCGTTTTGATATGAAAGACTTGGATTTAAACCTTTGGTGAACGCTTCAGCTGCCCATTCATCTGGGACTGCCGGTAGTAACATCCTTTCCTTCTAGAACCAGGTAACGAACTCTCGTAATAATTTGGATTCTCCCTGCGCGATCCTGAATATGTCGGCATTTCGGGTTTGTACCTTTCTGGCACCAGCATGAGCTTTGATGAACAAATCCGCGAGCATCTCAAAGGAATCTATGGAATGCTCGGAAAATAATGAATACCACGTTAAAGCTCCCCTCGTGAGAGTCTCACCAAATTTTTTCAGCAACACGGACTCAATTTCTTGAGGAGACAAATCATTTCCTTTCACTACTGTTTTGTAGGTGGTAATGTGCTCCTGTGGATCTCAAGATCCATCATACTTTGGCACTTCAAGCATTTTGAACCGCTTCGGGATTAATCCTGGGGCTGCGCTCGATTTATAGGGTAATTGAATATACTTTTTCGAGTTTGGGCCTTTTAGTACTGGTGGTGCACCCAGGATTTGATCCATGCGGGCGTTTACTTCCTTCATGAACCGCAAAAGTTCATCCTTAAACGGATCGTTCTCGTTGTTGAGGTCGGATCTACTCCCCCCGGCCCCGTCGGAGCCAACTTCGCCCCTAGGAGTATCATTATCAACTCTTTGCATCGTCTGGTTCGCGAGATCATGATGAGAAACTAGATCTCGCTTGTTTGCATTATTTGAGGCATCCGATAGTGCCTGCTTTAGTTCTGTCATAACCTGATCCTGTCGCGTGATATAGTCTAGAATGATTGCATGTTGCTTTTGTAGGACCCTTACTGCATTCGCTACATGCTCCTCATCAGCATCGTCAGGAGTTGCCTCCCAAACCTATCGAGGGTACCGTCTGTCATGTACCGGTGTTGCATCGTTTCCCTCATTGCGAGTGTCACTGATTGAATCCTCAAAATGAGGTTGTTCCCCTTGCATTTCAATGTTGCACGTGTCGTTAACATTGTTATCCTCCATTTTTGGTGATTTTTTGCTAGGACAAAGTAATCAATACACGTTAGTAAAAAAGACAAGGATCAATTTAATCGCACGGCTGTCTAGGCCCCATGATGGGCGCCAAACTGTTTACCCATAAAACGGTACAATTGAATTTATTCGTGGTTTCTAGATAAGTGAATTAATTTTATTCAAAAGATAATGAAATAACCGATGAAATATAAAATACTTAGCCTTAGAATGTAGATGGAATGACAGAGCTGATGAGTGTGGGAACAGGATTTCCGGGCATAACAATAATGAGATCAAAAGCGAGAATAAAATTATATTAAAATACTGTATAGAATGTAGTGTAAGTTAGCCAGAAAATTTGTGTCCTTACAATGATACAAAGCTCAGTATTTATAACTATGCCTAGGAAAGGAGGTCCTAGGATCATGCCCTTCTTTAATGTCAATTATGAGGGCCGTTGATGAAGATGCAACGTTAGGCATAAATGCCAAATTTCTTATAACGGGCCATCATCCTTAATGCTGCAAAATATTTTGTATTAAACGTTACCGGGCGCAAAGCATTTAATACTCTTTTTATGATCGTTATTCCTTCCGGTGACAAGTGGAATAGCTATGTTCGGCGGCCATGTCCATCTCCATTCCACGTTTTCTACCTTTAAGCGGCCACGAGTCATGTAATATTTTCCCCTATACAGTCTAATTTGGCCTCTTCACTCTTCATCATCAACCAAACGTTGACTATTTCTTCTAACGACAAAATGGAAGTAAAGGAAAGCAAGTAGGAGAAAGATTGGCATGAAGAAAATGAAGGAAAGAAGAAGAGTATGAGGACTTGCTTAGTTGAAGTACCAATTGAAGGTTTCACAGTTTAGTACTGATGACCCCATAGAATTTGGAAGTGGAGCTAGATATCAGACTCCAAATAGATTATGAATAAAAGTGAAACGGACTTTCCTAAAAAGGATCTCAAATTTCTGAATATAAATTAGTGTACTTGTTGTTAGAACATGTGCAGCGGAAGCAAGCATACAATCCAGACATCAAATACATGTAAACTAGACAATGATACAATTACGAGATTAGAAACCACTAACCTCTTGAAATCGTTGCACAGGTCCTCCACAAACCAAGAATCCAGGGCTGCAGTCTTCTGCTATGATCCTAGTAAGACCTTGAACGAAATTGCTTCGAGTGGGCAAGAACAATACAACTCTAAAAAGTGAGTTATTGAGTGAAAAATATTTTCCTTTAGTAGACACGTTTTTCAGCCA